TAGCCAACTACATCTAAACTAGTAATTGTTACATAGTCCATGTTATCCTAGGGGATGCAAACGCGGCGAGTGGAATTGGCCATAGGATCGTGCCCTAACTCATCACTTGGTGATAAAGGGGAAATTAGGCTGAGGAAGCTCCCGGCATCCAGGCGTCTTCCCCGGCGGTGAGGTTGCGCCTCACACAGTTACTTGTCAGTGCGGTGGTGAGGGCCACACCTGGCAGCGACCACAGTGCATCTTCTGTGAGCAAGGGCTGTATGTAGCTCAGCCTGGAGGAGCTGCTCTGTGCAGCAGTTGCGGTCGCAGCAGAGGGAGCCGAGGTGCTCTGGGCAGAGGAGGCCGGCGATCGCAGCGTCAGTGCTGCATTCCCCAAAGCCGCGGCCGCGCTATGGGAAGTTCCCTGCACGCACTCAGCGGCGCTGCTCTTCACCCTCAATTGTTGATGAGCCCTGGCGCTGGTCAACGCACGGAAGACAGCCCATTTTGCTTTCTTAGAGATCGGGATGAGAAATGAGCTGCCGAGGGCATTTGGCAGGGAGGAGAGGGAAAGGCAGTTTCGTGCCAGCAGCTAAGTTGTAGAATTGCTTTGCAGGCTGCCCAGGGAGCACGATAGAACTGACAAGAACAGACACCGTTGTAGACCACAGGCATGCCTGACTGCACTTGAGTCTGATCGCTGGGACGCAGCCTCCGCTCCTGCTCTAACTCTTGGTGGCTGCATAAAGGAAACGAGACTAGAAACGTGATCGCGAGTGGTATTCCTGAAAGGAAAGCACATACACCCCAAAAGGAGGGGAGGAACAGCCAAGCTGGTGTGTGCAATTTTTTAAAAAGGAGAATCCCTCAGGTATGTTCTCTTTTCCCGGTATGAGCTGCCTCATCTGCATGTAATTCTTGTGTCTGCCTTTTCTTGTTGATTCTTTTTGCTTGCACTTTGAATCACAACCATGGGGTTCTCCTAGTGTACTTGATGCATTCGTAAACGCTCAGCTGTCCTATGTTTAGAATATGGATGGTTCTGTTAAGAATCACGGACTTCTCGGTCCGTGCAGAATGCAGAATGATAAATAATTGCTTTGTTTCCACTCAACTTTCAGGGGAATATCTGTTTATGGACAAACAGAGCTGGGATAAAAGGATAGGAAAATTCCCAATCCCTTGGGATTTGGGGAGGGTTGGGGTGGGAATTAGAGTCAAACAGAAAAAGAAAAGTTAAGGGCTGCTAGGAAAGGGTTAAAAGCCAAGATGTCATACACTATCACTGTGTCTTCCAAGTGTTTTTCCAGTTCAGCCTCCAGTCAGGAGCAAATTGAGCTTCCCCAATGGTTCTGCATTTCGCCCTCTGGATCAGTCCTTTAAGATGAAGAAGATCATGCAGATTTGCTTTCAAGAGATGAATTGCTTAAATCGTGTAATTGGTTCTTTTACAATTGTTCTATGATACCTAAGGAGGCAGTCAGAAAAAAAAAATCCCGTTGCTCCAACAGCTTGAGTGAACCCTAACTTCTGCAATTACATCATCGATATACTTGTATAATAAAGAGAAAGACAGATATGGGAACGATAGTAATGTTGGCTGTCTTTAGGACCTAGGCTAGATGACAAAGCTTAAAGTCAGTTTTCCTTATTAGGTTTTTAAAGAGAAAAAGGAAAGAGGTGGGTGGGTAACACATAAAAATGAATTTTTAGAAATACTCTGCATTTCTTTAAAAAGCTAAGAAGATAAGTTTGTCTCATTTTTGAATTGATAATAAATGTAGTACTTTAAAAATAATCTTGCTATCTTTTACACTTCAATACATTATTTTCATAAAAGTGGCAATAAATTAAACATACATGTACTGAAATTAAATGAGCTTTGCAGGAAGGGAGAAATAAGAGAATGAGAAAGTTTGCTACATTTTTGTATATATCAAAGTATTTCATAGATTTTTGTTTTTAAAAAGTGGTTCACTAATACAAAGAATGAATACCAAAGCTCCTCGGCCCTGACTTTTCATTATTGTTGGTCTTTTTATCTTATGATTTAAAAGTCCAAAAAAGTAATGGAATACAGGTAAATAGGATTTAAATGATAACTTGTGAACACTGTAAAGTAAATCACTACCTTGCTCTTTTGAAACTAAAACTTGTATTTTACCAAATGGTTAGCGACCCGGAGCACTGAGGTAGGCCATACAACAAAATCAGGACATCAGTTTTTTCAAAATTCCACACCTTGCTATAATAACAACAATGTCACAATATAAGTAACTACAAGCAATTCCTGGGCCAAAAGGATGATTTGGAGGATGGGCAAAGAGTTTACATTCATTAGTAGGGTGTGGAAAACATTGTGTATTTCTTGTGTGTTGACATCTTGTACAAGGAGTGTTATACTATCTGTATATGAAGCACTATAGCAATGATACAATGGTATTTTACTGAATCCACTAAGTGGCTGTTTTTCAAACTAATGAATGAACGGACCTAAGATTATTTTAAAGAATATTTGAAACTCTCATATACAAAGTTATCTTTTCAAACCACAGGGAAATTCTATTGAGAAAGTAATTTCAACAGAATTGTAGACTTGAATTTGAAAGTGGTTAAGCAGGTGTGGGTTTATTCCTAGCATTTGATTATTTGCTGTTAGACTTCCATCACACAGATCTGGAATCTTCTTCCAGAAATTGTCATCACCTTGTGCTTGGATAAATCCATGCCCAGGTGGGATATGAGGTAAACATGTTAGATAAGCCTAGAGGATTCACTTTCCATGTGCTTACTATTAAAAAAGTAAACTATTTCCCTACCTAGGCCATCGAACACCTTTCTATGGTTGCTAGTATGTATTTACACTAGAAGCAATGAAATGTGTGGTGCACAGAACCACTTGCTTAAGAACCCATAGATCATTGAAAACAGGTGACAACTGCAGTGATTCCCCTTTCAAAGACAAATCTGTGCATGTGTGCGCGTGCGTGTGCGTGTGTGTGTGTGTGTGTGTGTGTGTGTGTGTGTGTGTGTGTGTAAGTGTGTAAGTAAGGGTCTCGGAGAAGGGAATGTTCTTGCCTCTGCTGATTTAGGGCAAATCTGTGATTCTGAATATCAGCACACTTCTGGCATGATATTCTCTTTTCCCAGTGCTCCAGGCACTTTCATTTCTGTTGACTATCTCGGCTAATGCAAAGCATGTGCCCTTTTGTGAGTTCTCTGAGACACTGTGCCACCTGTACCTTGTCTTCCAGTTTTAATACTGTCAGCTTCTGTTATTCATTCTTTCCATCCCATAGTCTTTGCTACAGAAAGACTTTCTCCAGCACTTTTGAAACATGGGACTCACTTTCCCAGCTGAGAAAAGATATTTCTGCTTTCAGCTGGAAATTTTAGAAATGTTAAATACATGCCAAATTTGTTTCTGAAATGCACTTTTAAAAATAGAAATCCACTTTCTAACTATGGTTTGAACCTAATGTTAACTTATTTGATATCATACATTTAAATTAATATCATTCAAGTAATAATTGCAGAGTTAAGGAATTAAATTTGCATATTTTGTTGTTGTTGCTATTATAGACCCTTTCTGGATCTTGAGTTGTCTGTGCTTGAATGGTTAGGCTCCAGTTCCCTTCCAGCTTAAAAAAGGGGAGGGGGTTTATTAATAGCTCCCTCAGTCTGTAGCTTTGGAGCATGTAGCAAACGGAGCACCCGGTTCTGCAACCCCTGTAGAGATATGTCACACCGTTGTTTGCTCCACTTGTAGTCTTTTAAGGCACATGGAGGTCAGATCTAACTTCTAGATCAAAAGTCCTCCAGAGAAGTAGAAATGAAGACACGCTGAATCATTTCTCTTGCTCTTGTGAAAATGGCTGTGATCCAGGACGCATAAATGTTTCCTGTGTCTTGCACGTTATAAGTATATTGTACAGTTTAGCTTCAGCACATAGAAATTATTATAATCTTGATATAGGAGTTTTATATTATTTTTCCTACATAGGAAGTTAAGAAAATATTATGTGGAAATGCATGCTGGTTAGTAAGGTAGAAACTCCACATTATAAATTGTACTCAGAGTTTTTCAAGTACTAAAAAAGAGTAATCATTGAATATGGGTTTCCCTCTCAAATATTTTCTTGTCTCTGTGAGGCCATTACAACTCCACCTTCAGCCTGTCTGTATTCCCAACTGCCAGTCCCCATTGGCCCAAGTCCTATGTTCAGGGTAAAAACATACTGTGTTTCTGAGCATTCTGGATCTTGAGAATCTGGGTGCAATATATTTTCTTGATAGACAAAAATGTTTTGCATGAAAATATTTTGCTTCGGGTATTTTATAAGTTGAAATAATATACTCTAGAAGTAGCTTTTCCAGGCATATTAAACCTAAGGGAAAGAAAAGAAAAGACAAAAAGTAGCTATCTGACAGGGATGACTATTTCTATTCTACAAGTTGGAAGAACTGATGATTCGGACACGATCACAGAGGCATGTTTCTGAGAGAGGGGACACTGTTGACCTGATTGTAGAAAATCTGGAGGAAGAACAAATGTTTTTTGAATCAAGTCATTGTTTATTATTATTGCTTATTATTATTATTTTTATCAATGAGAGCTATTTAGTAAAAATTGCCAATGAGGTAAAAAATAGATGATCAATGCACACAGTCCAACAAGAGTCCATTGCTTTTGCTACCTAGCAGAAAATAATGGAATTAGTCAAATATTGGCCCAGCCTCCAATTGGCTGGATAAACTTGGACTGTCATTTTTTAAGCATTGGTTTCCTATCTGTAAAAGAAGATTATTTGTTTGATGCTCATGAAAACCCCTTCTAGTTCTCAGACTCTGAAATTCTATAAAATCTACATAATGTAGGCTCTATAGGGTTGACTCCATTTGAAATGTCACTATAGAACTGCTTGACTCTGATTTGCTTCTCCTGAGTCTAGTGGTTGATAAATATCATTTTCCTGCCTGATAAGCTGAAGAAGCAGTATTAATCCTTTTAGAACTTTTTAAAAATGTGTCAATTTGTTTTCCTTTGCACAACTAGACAATAAGTGTTGGCTTAATCATATTCCATGTTAACTGCATATTTTGTATAAAACCCTGTATTTGTGAGTCATACACATTTGCTGCATCTTTGATAGATATTGAAATTTTGTTACAAGAAACAAATGATGTTTGGGTAATTAGCTACTCATTTTATAATAATCATTCCATAGAACAGTTTTATTGAGAACTTTTAAAAAACAAAGTATATGTATGTGTGTACTCTACTTAGAAATTTGAATAGATTTACTCTCTTTCCTTCCAGCTGTCTTTCCTTCTGGATGGGCATACTCATAAGAACATGCTAGGAAGAAGGGGATTGTAGGCTCTCTCATGGCTGAAGGGACAAACTTCAGTAGGGAAGCTTCTCAAACCTAAGAAAATTCATATTTCCTTCCTAATTTCAAAGACAGTTGTCAAGAAGCAAAATATATAGATTAATTTCATATATATATAAATTAAAATTTAATTCTAGTTACTTCTTAGGAAGTAATCCGTAGGATTTTCGTTGTGCTAAATACAAAATAAAATGTCACAATATTGCTAGAGAGTAAGTGAAGAACATATTTTTTAAAACAGTAAATGATATGACATATCAAGTTTGATAAATACAACAAATTACAACAGATACATACATACATCAATTGTTTGCCTCCATTAAGCCTCAAGTGGAAGCAATTCTCTTGATACTCTGTCTATGCTCATTGAGGGGGACTGACATTACATATCTCAGTGAAGTCAAGAGATTAAATTCCTTTAGTTTTCCCCAAACAACTCCCTTTTTTCTTATTTTCTCAGTCTCTCAGGCTCAAATCT